GCACTGCTGTGTATGTGATGTTGGGGAAGAGCTAATCCCATTAATGTCTCGTATCAGATTTACTACTGACCTGTAGGGCGTCATCTGTTAAATATTTCTCTGAGATTTATGAATGCACTGAGAATTGGATTAGCCATCTCCTGCCGTGTCCTCCCTAAGACTAGAGCAGCTTGCTCAACTGGAATGTCAAGTTAGCTAGTTTATATTGGAGAAACATTATTAATATGCAAAGTGCTAAAGGGCCATAGGCTTGTCTGTAGATTGAGTCATTTTAGTTCCTGATAAGAGCCCAGAGCTACAACAAGACAGATTGTTCTTATCTCCTTATAAACATATTTAAGTGCCTAAAGTTTTAGAGAACCACAGGTATCAAAATGGTTACTTCTGAAGAATTCCAAATGGTTTGCATGAATTAACATTCTGTTTTATATCAAATTAGAGTTATTTTATTTATAGCAAAGATACTGTATCATTTTATCCCAGTATTTTGCTCAGGCAGTTTCATCTCTCATGGCATGAACTCCATTAGAATGAGAAAGAAGTGCTAACTGTTGAGAGCAGTGAACAGTAAACTTCTTACTTCTTGCACCTGCCTTCTCTTGGAGGTTTTGGTCTTGGTGTACTTCTATTTTTGTTAAGTAGGCAAAGTGTTGGGTATAATCCTTTAAAGATTAAGCAAGCTAATTGAGTTAGGGAAACAAATGAGCAACACGGACCAAAAATGGGATCTGTTGATTAATGAAGGGATTTAGTTATATTCTTAATGAAGAGTTTAAATTCATGCTGTTCATGCATTTGGTAGTTCTTAGAAAACTTGACTAATCCTGGGTATAAAATGTTAGGTACTTAATTTTAGTGAGAGGGTTGTACTTCGGGTATAATTTAATCAATATCAGAGATTGGCCTCATGAATGTTCCAAAGCCCAGTCAGTAAGTTGACTTATATGACAAATATCTGTGATGTGCTCATTGGGAGTGGTGCAGTGTTGTCTGGGAGAAGCATTTTGAATTGCTGTGTTCACAAAACATCAGCAATGCATACATAAAGAGGGAATTTAGCCAAAAACATTTCTTGATAATTTATTTTACATAAAACTTCTTTGCATATTTTTGTGTGTGATAACATTAAAACATTTTACTAGTGATCATAAATTGGCTGCCAAGAATAGGATTACAGACAAGTTAATGACCATAATGTAATCAAGAGAAACTAGTATGAGAATGTCGGTGGCTGTGTGAGCGTGAACGACCATGCAGTGAATGCCGCGCTTGTCCTAGATCAGAGAAGAGGGGTCGGAGGGTGATCTAGGACAGTGCTGGGAAAGTGCCATCATTTCAGCATCTCATGTTGCATTTCAGAATCACAGCATGTGACACTGATTAGGGACTTTCTGTCTGTGCCCAGGGGTTCCCACTCCTTTATGCCAACGGATGCTCTTCAGCACTTGTTTCAGTTATGGCCGAGCTCAGAACAACATCTGTGCTGAGCAGCCAGGAGTTCACAGGGAAAGAAGAAGCCCACCTGGTTCTACCCTGCGGCCCAGGCTTTGACCTCCAGAACTGGGGTTTCTGGGCCTGAGTAGGTGGCCTTGGCCCTCAGCCAGTGGTGTGGTCATGCTGTTTATATGAAGTGTGCTCATAGCTACAGGAAAAGATTGGACTCCAGTTCTAAAGCCATTTGTTTTTCCTCTGTTCCTATATCATTATCCTATATGTAATTCAACCGTCTGTGTTGCCAGTTTAACACCCCCAAAGTATCAGTCTGTTTACAGCTTAAAGATGTCACATCACTCCCCAGTAAGTATGCGTGTTTGGGGCACAGGTTTAAAGTTAACTGTCTAAAACCAGAAAAGGCCATCAGTTTTTATGGGTTGTTGGAGGAGATAGAGTGTTACTGAATGAGGTTCACAGTCAGAATGTAAACACCTTAATTTATAAGGGCTCAGAAATTGGTGCCAGATTCTAAGTACCATGTGATCCAGTGTTGGGAGGACTGGCCCAGCAAGACATACTTTGAAAAGGCTCATTTGGTTCATTCCCAGACCTGTTGTTCCCCAGCCTGCGGGTTCCCCTGGTCCTCACCCCTGGTACCTTACCTATCACTTTTAAAAGCCACAGCCCTCTTCCTGGACTTGTCCTTTCATTCCAGAGTTAATGATGTTTGCTTCAGAGATTGGTGTAAGAGAGCATGGATGTGGCGGAGGTGATACTGCATTGAAACATTTGAAGTGTGAATTGAGCATCTTAGAGTGGGTCAGAGGAGAGGTATATGAACACTGGGTTTCAGGAGCAGTTTAGGCATGGATTGAACACTAGGGTTTTAAAAACTGGTGGGTGAACTTAAAGCTGGGAAAGGGCAGTACAGCAATTGGCTTGAATGTAGATTTAATATTACTTTGGAAATAACTCTTAAATACCTCGCTTTCCATGTATTAATGTTTGATCCAACATGTTTCCTAAAGTAGCCTCTGTGACTGACCAGCCCCACAGCCTCCAGAGGCACGATGGACAGTGTGGTCCTACAGCTTTAGAGCCCAGTGCATCAGGGCAAAGGCCGAGAGGCCTCCTTCATAACCTTTTCTAATTGTTTCTTTTTAAATTTACAGAAGCACTTATGTTTTCTATGCTGCTTGACACATTACCACCAACATAGTGGGTCTAACAGCACTTTTTATTATCTCACAGCTCGGAGGAGGCAGAAGTCTTTGTTCACAAGGCCTAAGTCAAGGCATTGACCGTGCTGGGCCTGTATCTGGAGGTGCTGGAGAAGATCTGCTTCCAAGCTCAGTTAGGGTGTTGTCAGGATTGTGCTCTTATAGTTATATGACCAGTGTCCCCGTTTTCTTGTGGGCTGTTGGCCCAAGACTGTGCTCTGGCTCTTACCTCATGGCCCTTCATTTTATAATGGAGATTTCTCTCATGTGAAGTCCCCATGACCCTAACATCTCTGCCATCCCTTTCTGCCACCAGCAGAAAAAATCTGCCTTTACTGGGCTCATCTGATTCGGTCAGGCCCACCTGAGACTCTCCTCCATCCTAAGGCTGACTGCTCAGTGGCTTTTGTGATACCTGTGGGATCCTTTGTGTCCCTCGACATAATCACAGACAGAGGTCATGGAGCCATCTCAGAATTCTGCCCACCCAGACCCTGCTCATGGTGGCTTTAGTTTTGGCCTTGTGTTGTGTGTAGTTGTCTGGTGTACTGGATTCCGAGTGTAGACAAGACTCTCCTAGAGCAGGCTTCTCTCGATCAGCTGCCTCCTGCACACTCCCCACTGAGTATGTGCCCGCAACCAAGGTACGTGCCCTTGACCAGAATCGAACCTGGGACCCTTCAGTCCGCAGGCCGACACTCTATCCACTGAGCCAAACCGGTTAGGGCTTCTCCGTTTTCTAATCCCTGACTCCTTTGGGAAACATGAGAGATCTGAACATTGGAGATGTCAGAAATAATGAAATATATCATAGTGATCTATGTCTTTTCAGATAGCACATGTCATCTTGCTGTACTAGATGTCCTGTCCCTTAACTCCTACCCTGACTCCCGCTCAGTGACATTGCTCTCCTGGAAGCCTTGGAATGAAATAAGGCCCCACTCTCCCCACCCCTGTGCCTCATGGACATGGCGGAGACTCAGATCTTTTACAGAAATGTTTCAGAAAAGGTAGCAATCATAATTGTGATTCTGATGAGATCATTGATAGTGAGGAAATGTAAGAGCAGAAGAATTGTGCAATAATTTAAACTGCACCCCACCATGGCCTGCAGAAGCACAGAGGATAGGCAGAGGGAAGCTGGGGCAGGACATGAGTCATGAGGTCAGGATACACCAAGGCTGTAGTTTAGGTCTTCTTTTTTCTCTGTTCAAGTGGTTGTTAGCCATCAGGCCATCAGGGCGCCCAGTTACAGAGAACTCAGGGTGCCGACTACTTCAGGGATAGTTGAATAGTGTTTTCACTTTAAGAAATGTTTGAGCATTACTGATAAAATCTTTATAATAGAATTGTTGATCTAAAACATCCCACTAAAAAAAACCAAAGCAAAATTAGCCCATACCAGAAAAGCACTTTAAAAAGAAAACAGTAGAATGTACCATTTCTAAATTGAAATCTCTATAATTTGTAGTTTGGGGAATGCCAATCTTAAAGATTTTTGAAGTTCTCAAATTTTCTTTCATGTAATTATAAAGTCCTGATTTCATAGAAAGGACAGCCTGTTGGAAGGCCACCTGTCTTCTCAGTTGTCCTCTCTGCATGTAGCCATTCATGTGATTCAGGACACACCATGCCTTCCCATTCTCTTTTAATCCTGGCCCCTTCCCCATTATGAGTATTCCACTGATTTATGGTTGAGATGAAGATCTTTTTGAAGCATCTATATATGACATCATAGAAATTTAGCTAGCAGATGGCCAGACTTGACATGAGAAAAGTGTAGCTTTATTTTTACATAAATAAAAATAGCCCCTAGGATCCTGGAATACCCCAATAGATGATTCTTTATGGAACAGATAGTTGTAAGTGGTA